TTGCACATCAAAAATCCCGATGCAGTGAAAAGGAAGCTTACTCGCATAATTGCACTGGGTAAGAACAACCTTCAGGTAGGAGTGTTAAAGTATGCTTCATTTGCCTCGCAGGTGATATCTGACTTTGACTGGACTATGTCGAAGTTCTATAACAAAGGCGACCGTACCCCCTCCTGTCACGGAATCTTTGAGGAGGCTCCCAATGTGACACCGGAAATACAGAACCAGGTAAGTCATGCGAGGTTTTCTAAGTGAAACCATTTTCAACAGATACGTATTATACGGCAGACCTATGAACCGATTGAATGGGATCCGACTATTCCAATTTCCATGAAGATTCCCCTCATGGTGGAGTGGTTGGATTTAACGCACAAAGCGATCGCCTCGTCCGGTATGCATAAAGATGCACTTAAAGCAAGTGTAAACCAGTGGAACATCGCCTTAAGGTATGTCTGCATTTTCTAGTAAATGCATTATTTTTTACAAGCTGATGTGATTTTCGTAGAGAATAGGCGATTTAGTGGTTAGCCATTCGAGATTGTTCTGTGCATTATTCAACCTGATAATGTTTTTAAAGCCTTTTTACTTGTCGGACACAGATTTAGTTCTACTCCGCATGAAGAACAGTAAGTTCAGCATCTCATGGAATGATGACTGCGATTTGGAAATCTGTTTTAGATTCGAACAACTAACTTAAGTAGGTTTGTGAGATCAATTATCGTTCAGCCTAATATCAAGATATTTTAGGCATGTCAACATGTTAGGTTTTGAAGGAGCCTTTTGCTGCATGACTGACTATGATAAATGTTAAGATATTTTATAGAAAAATTGCACAAAATTATTCTTTCTTGTACTTGTTTGGTAGAAAATTACCTATCTATCACATGTTAGTACCGTTTAAGGACTGCTCTCATAATAGGGTTGGAATCCGATGGCTGTGTTTTATCAATGACATCGTACTTATTCGTTACAAGATATGAGGACCTACGTTTTCCTATCGATGGACACGGGAAAAACAGGCGGCTGAGGTCGAGTTGTACGTTTTGACGTTTGACATCAGCCGCACCATGTGGTTGCGCTTTGATCACGTCGGGATCACCAATGTGTAGAAGGCAAAACAATGTTTTTACTCAGATCCCTACTATCATCAGGCCAAATCCAAATTTGTAGGAAAAGACAGAGTGTCCCTTTAGGGAGAATGTATTGGGCATAGAACTTCCAGTTACTGCCCCAGACAGAAAAGGTCACTGATGGAGTCAGAGCTGCAGTTGAATGCTTCC